TATTCCAGTACCACATAACGTTCAATGTTTGTATTTGGAAAATGCGCTTACCATGTAAAAAGTCAATAACCGAAAATCATTGAATCTTTCATGCACTTTTTTCTCACGAAACGCCCCTATACAACCAATCATCTCAAATAGCCTCTGCTGGGGAAGCTCTAAGCACTGCCTTCACGTGGCGGAGGTATTTTTCCGTCAAAGCGAAGGGGCGAAAAACAAATAACCGGGGCTATAACCAGGTTGGTGAACCATTGGCAGTGCACCTAGGGGAGTTGGTCGAAAACCCTGATTCCAAACCAACCAAGAAGAGGAGTACGGATTACACATTCCTGGATGAGGCAGTGGNTTTGGCACCTTGGACGTCTGAACCTCGTCCAAAGGGCGTTGGATCCGATGGACTGGACACCACCCTCCAATGAATCGCGATTTTCGCACACCGTCCCGCTGCCTTGTGCGCCAGGCTTTGACTAACCGAAGGCTCCCGTTGTGAATTCCTCAAGAAAATTAACGTGTCTTGGTCTGGGCGAACAGGCAATATTTTACCCACCAGCAAATCAGGGAACGTTCTTCATAAAGATTATTGTATTGGGGCTTGTTTAGCACGTAGTCTGTGTGCGAAATACACATAAAAACAATACGGTTTGGGTTGTTACAACTACTGCCATCAGGATGTCCTGGTGATCATCCATATCCTTTCTATTGGAAGTTTATTATCAAGGCTTGCCAGCTTCGTTCGATGAAGTAAGTTATTGCAGTGTATCATTTAAATGTCAGTTCTCATTCTTCACTTCATGAATGTCATCCTCGCCATAGGATAGGAACCAGAGGGATTTACTCAATAGAGTCTTCAAGAGAGACATCCAGTGAGAGCATTTCTTAGGATAAGAATAGGACTGACCTCTACCTTGGACAAACTGTGGTTCTTTAAGGCTGAACAGTGAAAAATATGAAAAACAAACTGAACACTTCGCACACAAAATGAACACAGAAAACATATAACTGGTTAGCAGTGACGCGCATGCTAGAAATATATTTTACGAAATGGAAAGACGACAAAAACCGACCACAGATAAACAGAGTCAACATAGTGACGAAACTTGAGAGGACACTTACTGGCCATTTGGTTACATCGTTCGTGGACCAAGGCATGAGAGGACTGGAACGTGGGCTCAGACAAAACTCGGGATCCAGACCGCAAACTGGTCCCAACTTAACGCGACTAACGCGTATCCCGGATTCGTCGGTTGGACGTATCTCGACGGAGTCCGGAGTTTCGATCCGATCGGTGGGAACTGAAGCAGTTGAGGAATTGTACAGGTTGTCGGGAATTTTCAGCCATTCAGTGTCCACACCGGAACAGTACTGCTTTTGTGTCTGGTAACATTTCGACTGGCGGTTGAACAGGCAGCAACCTGAACTGTGGCGAAAAAGAAAAGGTAAACATAGTGTAGTGAGGACACGAGTGCAGCTATTTTGATTTGATTATGAATAGGGTGTATGTTTCACTGGACCATTTGGTTCATGGTTGCTTTTGTATTTTCCGTCTTACAGGTCGTTTGGAAGTCCCCTCCACAGAGAACCTACTGTCAGAAGTGTCTCCTATCTGTGTATTGAGAGCGTCAGTGAGTGGCCAGTGATTATGCGGCCTTTTTTGAAGACGCTAATTGTATAAGAACTTGGACTGCGTTGCCCGAAATCAATCTGCCAGTGTATTCCGATTGGATTTAGAACTGGGGTCGATCATGCATACTACAATAGTTCACACCTATACAGCAGACTATGTGAAACACGGTTCCAGTACCGATGAGTGCTACGTAGTAGATATCAACGTAAGCGGAAAAACAGCAGAATAAAAGCAATATGACGTTGAACGAAGCACTGTTGACTGTTATCGGAACTTCAGGTTTTACAACTTTTCTTTTTCACGTAGTAAACATCCAACTATGCTTCCGTTCGACGAAGATTAAACCTCAACGGGAAAACAGTACTCTCAGCTCCTTAACAAGCATCACAATAAGGGGCCATGGCTGTCTTCCACTAATTGTATTACAACCACTATCCATCGAGGTGACAGGATCTAGAACACCAGTGACGAGACGGAGGATGCACGACAACTGACTAATAAGATACACTGAAGGCATGTAAAATCACTCAATACTAACGAGTTTCACTACCGTCACTCTCGCAACAAAGCTGATGTCAAAGAATATTTAGGGCATTCATTTTTGCCAACCCTAAACAACTATTACCTGCTGTTCGATAGCACCGTGATGCACTCAAAAGTACAAGTAGCAGAAACTCATCCATACTCAAGCCGCAAGAGTTTCCTAAACCCTACCCGGTATTCGCATATGGAAGAAAACTTTAATTGTCTACTGCGAACACAGTCATGAGGAAACCTGTCTATTACTTCTTTAGGCTACAGGACGTTCTATAAGCAAGCATATCGCAACCCTGCTTCGCATCCTGTGAAAATCCCATAGAGCCCGCTCTACGACATTTCTGCAGTATACTTTCCTATTGTCCACATTTTCCATATCGACGACTGGATCTAATACTGATGAAATATACGAAGTGGTCATTGTTGGCTGATAATTATCGAATTGCAATACGTATAAACCTGGCGGTAACAATTTTTGTGTAGCAGCGCCTACATTGAGAAAATTGTGCATAACGCATTCACTCAACTAGGGGTACAGCGGTTATCCCATCTAACTGGCATTAGGCCGGTAGTTTGATTATTCATAAGTAATAATGATGATGATGATGAATAAAATAACATTTTCTCAGGCAGATTGTGTTGGTCTTGAAAAGGACCGATAATTACTTCGATACGTATGTACACCATCTTTGCCACTACAGGAGTTGTTTAAAAACTCCACCGTAGTGCACCAAGTAAATCTGCGTCCGTCGAACCACATTCTTTTGAACAACATTCAGCATTGATGTCAGAATCTCTCTGTCTCTCTCTCCACACACACACACAGGATCCGGGCTTTCAACCCTTTCACTGGCTCGGGCTTCAGATGGTGAAATTCAAATAGAGTAGAATCCGGAGACTTTGAATGCTATAATATCAGCCCCTTCCATCCAACCCACTATAGAGAGAACGTTTCGCTGAGCCAGTTAGTTAATCACCAAAGCTGCGATATGTCCGGCAGCTTAACCCTGTCGAAAAAAACAATCAGGACATGTTTGGTAATGGTAGTCTTTCCAAATATTCCGAAAACACTCTCTTCATCGTAGTCAAATAGATGGAAGCATAGACCTTGTCTGAGTAAAACGGGACCAGGGATTCTGGAGCGCAGGATGTTGCACGATAAAACCAAGTATTGGGGAGATAAAACCGGGCAATCCAGCGATTATCAAGAAATGCGAACGCCTCAGAGAAAATTATCTATCGATGATGATGGAATTTGAAAAGAACCTCCGGGTTGAGGTGATGTCCTATACCGCCTAATCCCCGTTCGCGTTTATGATTGGCTTTCCGATCCTATCGAAATCGCTCGTGTAAATCCACAGGGATCTGCTTTCTACTCAACTGCCTCCCATACCCGTAGACAATCCAACGAAGGTTCAAATTTGTTTGAATAGGCCGTGGTATCTCCATAGATTGTTGTCTACGATTGCAAAATAGCCGAAAAAAACGAACCTACATCCGAAGCTGGGGTTACAAAATGGAAGTGAGACGTACATGGGTGTTCATCAATCGAGTGAGCTCCGTACGTAGGCGTGTATGCACGTTGCATCAATGGTACCAAACAAGCAATCATTAACTGGTCTGTAGGCATAATTTCACTCATAGGTGAATATACTAATATGCTAATCTAATGTGTGCAGAGAAAAACATCATTCTTTAGTCAGACGGATGTCACTGAGAACACTCGATAGCAGTGGTACGATCGTTCGAACCAAAAGAAACGCTTGATGTTCATCAACAGTCACCTGATACTTAGAAATGTCCTGGAGAAGGAGACAGACTATGCTATGTGCATAACGCAGCAGAATGCAAAGTTCTACAGAAAAATAGATATTAGATTTCAGGCGGGAACAGATAATGTGAACTAGGATAAAAAAAGAACCTTCTTGGGAATCTGTGCGATTGCGCGGAGAGCGTAATAATTCAACATTAGAAGAAAAGATAACAAGCATCATGAGAGTCGTGTAATTTACATTTGTCTCAGACGAAACGGAACGTAAACGGTTTGGGGGAAAACCAAAGCAATTTAAATCGGCAAAACAAAGATAGAATGCAAAATACGAGCGGAACTACTACGTTGCTGATGATCAGCTTT